ATGCCTCGCCGCTCAAACCGCCTTTGACACGCCTTGGCTGGGCTCCCGAAGGCGTCCTGTGCCATTTGATAGCGCTTCGGAAGAGGCCTCTCTGTCTTCCCCGCTCCGGGCCAGCCTGGAAATAGCCAACGCCGAACGCGGCAGGGTATCCACGGCACACGGGCGGCAGGGTATCCACGGCACACGGGCAGCGCGGCCCACGGAGACGCGCCCCCACCTAACTCCCCGGGGGGGGGGTGTGTGTGGAGGGGTGGGTGCAGCAGCACGGGGACACATACACACACGCACACACACAAAATAAAAATACTTTGGGACAGTCAGTCTGCAGTTAAACGGGGGGCTGGCGGCAGGGCGGCATATGGCTTTCCGGGGCCAGACCCCAGCTCCGGGGGGGGCTGCCGGCCGCGCCCCCCGGGCAAAGCCCCTCGTAGCATTGCAAGGACTTGGCCGGGGCCGGACACCTCGCCCCGTCGTCCCCGGGGGTACGCGGGCTCGTGGGCTGCCCGCGGAGGTGATGCTCCCCACGCCGGGCTGGCAGGGTCCCCTCCCCACCCACTCACAAGCTGCCCCCTCGCCCCCTTTCCCCGCATTTTGCTCTCCCCGCTGTCCCGGGCAGATGCGGCGGCCGGTGGCCGGAGCCAAGGACGGCTCCCGCCGGGTGCCGGGGTCGGTGCCCGTGGGTGGCAGTGTCACAGGTGGGGCCACCTGTGTCGGGGGGTGCCCCACGCGGGGCCGGGGCGCTTCCCCCTACTCCTGCAGGGTAGGAAGCGGGGGGGGGGGGGAGACTGCGTGCCTCCATCCGCGCTGCAGAGGCTCGGACCCCTGTGAGCGTGTGCAGGCGTCCACGCGTGTGGACGCCCGTGCGTGCCGTCCTCCGCGTGGGCTCGCCCGTCCCTCTGTGGGCGCCTGCCCCTCCGCGCTGCCGGAGCAGACACGCTGGGCCGTTCCTGCGTATCCTTTTCTCCTCCTTTGTCTCCTTTTCTTTGGCTTTGACTCTTTCAGGTGCCCCGGCGGTGCCCTCGCGTGCTGCTGGTTGCTGGGAGGTGGCGTGGCTGCCACTGCGCTGCTGTTGTGCGAGGGGAGGGAGGGGAAGGGGGGCTTGAATGCTGGCTGTTGTACTCGGCTGGGGTGGGGGGCCGCCGAGGAGGAGGAGGAGGCCGATGGTGATGATGATGGAGGGGAGGGGGGTGACGATGGAGCTCGCGGCGGGCGCGCTGCTCCCTGGGGAGCCGCCTGAAAGGCCGCTGCGCTCACCAGCTGACAACGCGTGCTCCGCTCCAGACACGGCGCACCGCGGCCGGGAGCGAGGCCAGACCCCCCCCCCCTTACCCCCCAAACCCCCCCCCCCCCCCCCCCATTGTCCGCCCCATCGCATTGTCCGCCCCGCTCTAATTAAGAAACACTGGCCCCACGGCCAGCTCCCCACCCCCCCACCCCCCCCCCTCCCTCCCCCGCCGTGGTCCTTGCGCTTTTCTGGTCTCCCCTCGCCCGGTTTAACCCTTTCTCCCCCTTCCTTCCCTCCCTCCTCCCTCCCCGAGGCCAGAGGTTGAGCAAACAGCAGCCGGAGAGCTGCAAGGCAGCGATGCGCTCCGGCCGCCGCGCTGCAAACTCGCCCCCCCCCGCTCCCCTCCCCGCCCCGCCACGGCTGCGCCTCGCCGCCGCGCCCACCCCCCCACCCCACCCCCCAACCCCCTCTCCGGTCCCCCGAAATCCCCGCGCTAAACCCCGCCGCCGAAACGGCCGGGCAGAGCCCCGCACCGGAGCCCACGGCTGAGCCTCACCCGGCGACCCGGGCTCAAAAGGCACCGGAGCCGCCGTGCGCCTCGCACAAAGGCGACCACCTCCCCCCAGCCACCCCCACCCCCCCCCCCGCCCCGCGGTCGTTCTGCACACTCCGGAGGATGTTTTAGCGTTCAGCCAAAATTTAACGCTCGGGTAGTGCGCTTCTGACTCGCCCTTTTCAAATAAAAGCCCGTTTAAGATGATAAAACCCCAACGAAGCAAACCGGGCGAAACTGCTTCCAGGGGCTGGTGCGCGTCCCCGCTCTCGTTAAAAAACTTTGCGCTAGTCTATACAAAACAAACACTGTCGCAAGCTCAATAAAGCGATTTATCCATCTTCATTACTTAAAGAAATGTTGTCTCTTTGTTTGTTTGGGAGATATTAAGCATGCTTAGCTTGCAACACATAGTTGATTCCTTTGCTAGTATCTTGGATACTTGGATCTGACTTTGGAAGGTAGGAGCTAATTGCTAATAATGGAGAGAAAGGAACCAGCCAGCATAGCGGGAGTGGCCTGGCATATGGGGAATGAGCAGTCTGAAATACTCAATATTCAAGTTTCCAAAATATTAATGAGATTAGAGCAACCTGCAGCTATACGTTACAGCTTGTTAACGGAGTGTAAGGGGGGGCGGGGGGGGGGGTGCTGCCAAGCGGTTGTTATGCAAAGTCTATAGCTGAACCTTAAAATGGAAATGCGGCTGGGTATCTCTTTCAAAGAAGTGTTAAAAAAAAAAAAAAAAAAAAAAAAAAAAAAAAAGAAAAATCCCCTCGGACGGCGAGTGCTGCTGCTCTAGGGCTGCGAGCACCGACTGCGCGGTGCGGTGCGCGCATCTTCTCGGGGGAAGGGACCCGTCCGAGGGAGCGGGGAGGATTTTAGGCTGTGCCTTTCACTCCCCCTCACCTCGCCCGCAGCCGCAGGGGCAGCGTCCGGGGCGGCGGGGCCGGGGTGGCGTGGGTGAAACCCCTTGAACCCTCCGGCGGCACTGCCGGGACCCTCTCCGTGGGGGATCCTTTCCGCGGGGTGATGCCCCCAGTGATGGTGGCAGCCGCTTCCCCCGCGCTGGGCACATACCCAAACCAAACCAGATCAGCAGAAACACCACTCCCAGCACCCCCTCCTCAAAATCGGTGCTGTTTTACGCCGCCGTATTATTCCCGTGCTGGGAGCCCACGCGTGCTCCCTAAGAAGCGAGACCGGCTCCCAGAGCCCAGAAATAAGTGCCGTAACCCAAAGGTGACCCACGCCGAAAAAGCTGGCGGGTTTTAGGAAAGGGGAATGACCCTACCGATGAACTTTTCACCCTGCCGGGACCGTACCCCGCCTCGGCAGGTACGCGGCGGCGGCCGTGGGTGTTTGCGGCGGGCAGGGCGGCAGCCCCCGGTTACCGTGGGGGGGACGGGACGGAACACGGGGGACGGGGGCAGGTGCCCCGGTTCTGCAGGGGAAAGCGACACTTTCACGGGCTCCGCTCCCGCGGGGGCTGCGCGATCCCGGCCGCGCCGGGTTAACTGATCGCCCCTTAATACACAACACCCCCCCACACCCCCCCCTCCAGGTGTCACCCGCTGAACCCAGCGGCACCCCGGCACCGGCACGGCTCCAGTGTAGCCCCGGGTCTGGTGTCACGGCCAGGCTCGGCAAAGCATCAGCATCTCCCCCCCCCCCCCCTCCCCCGGGGTTTAACCCGAGCCCAGGGGCCGCATCCCACTCCCCCAGCGGCGCGGCTCGTGTGTCCCCAAAACCCCGCCGGCTTTTCCCAGCCCTCTCCGCACGGCTTACATTTCCCACCGCGAGACAGACGAGGCTCCGTGGGGAGATCCGCTCGTGTCCCCGACCGGGCGGGAGAAGGGAACGGCGTGACTCGAGCAGCGCCAAGCCCCTCACCCCGCACTTGTTGCGATTATCGCGGCTCAGCTGGGCACGGCGGGACGGAGACGGGCAGCCCTGCTCCACGCGGGGCACAGACACCCGGGGGCCGGCGCGGACCCTGTGGGGGGGAGCCGGTGTGGTCCCGCTCACCCTCCGCCGCCGGGCTCCGACACCTCCCCGGCCCGGGCCGTGCGAGGAGGAGAAAAGCTAAACCCGACCGCGCGTTCCGGCTGGTTTTGTTGTTTTCGTTTGGGTTTGGTTTTTTGTTTGTTTGCTTTTTTTTCTTTTTTTTTTTTTTTTTCACGTTTATTTGATCTCAAAAAAAAATCTTAAAATTAAAATACATAAAACAATGGCAGCTGGCTTTGCTAAAATTAAAATAAACGATTCTCGTCGTAGAAAAGTTGTGTTGTTTTTTTTTTTTTTTTTAAAAAAAGAGAAGCAGGAATAGTAGCAAACACTCCATAATAAATACGTTTCCTATTACCACAAAAGCAAAATAAAACGGACATAAAAGTTTGACACGACAAAACTGTTTTCGTTTTTAAGAGAGCGTTAGGATTAAGTGGCTTAATTAAATATTGGTCTCCAATTGGCAGTTAATTAGTAGCTTTCCTCTTGCAACCGCATCTCCAGCCGCTGATAAAGTGCTTGCGCCAAGTTTCCTCCCTCAAAAGACGCCGACGTGGTGCGCTAAGGAAAATCCACATTTCCTCCGCTATTTACAGGACAAGACGGTGCGTCATTTACTTGGGTTTGTTTTGTTTTGTTTTGTTTTTTTTTTTGGTGTGTGTGCGCGCTTCCACAGCAATACGACCCAGGGCAGGATCGGTGTCCTGGAAGACGCGGGTGCCCGCCCGGGTGGGGAGGGCGCCGGGGACACCCCCCGCCCGCCGAGCAGCAGCAGCAGCAGCAGCAGCAGCAGCAGCAGCAGCAGCGGGGCCAGCCTCTCTCCCGGTGCATCCCCTGCTCGCCGGCGGCACAAGCCAGGCTCCGCGCTGCACGGTGGCGCGTTGGCAGGAGGGAAAACGGCAACGACTTCTAGGCGAAAGAAACTTTAAAAGTGGTAACTAAAAAGGAAAACCAAAAAAAGCCACCCAACTAACGCGGGGAGATGGGGCCGGGTGACAGTCACTCGCTATCAGCCGTCCGCCCGGCCGAACCCAGCAGCTGCCGGGGGTGGGAGAAGACGGGGCGGATTTCCAAGCGGCCGCGGGGGGCCGGTGCCACCCGAGACGGCCCCGCGGGCGGCCGCTCGCCCCACGGCGGGGTCCGCGCTCCGAGGGGCAGGCCGCGGCCCCGGGGCGGGGGGGGGGGGGGGGCGCTGGGGCCGGCGCCCCCGCCCTAGCTGGCCTCGTCCGAGTCGCTGTAGTGGGAGCGGGGCGAGAACTCCCCGTCGCTCCTGTGGGACCGGGGCGACGTTTTGCTCCTCTCCTGCGGCGGCTGCCCGGGCTGCGGCATGAGGAGGGCGGGGGAAGGGGCTCTCTGTCCCATCAGGGCGCCCTCCGCAAAGGAGGGGAAGTGCAGCGGGTCGAGCTGCACGGAGTAGCCCCCCGCGGCCGGCGGCGGCGGCGGGGGGAAGCGAGTCCTGCCGTGCCCGGGGGGCGAGGCTCTCGGCGGCCCCGGCTGCGGCGCCGGCGGCCCCGGCGACGGCCCGGCCGCGGCGGCGCAGGGCGGCTCGAAGGGAGCCCCGCGGTGCTCGGCCTTGCCCGGGGCGTCGGGGGGCGCGGCGGGGCTGTGGAGCAGCTCGGCCAGGGCGCTGATGTAGATCTGCGCCATCTGCAGCGTCTCGTACTTGGAGAGCTTCTTGTCGTTGTTGAAGGAGGGGATGACATTGCGCAGCTGGTCGAAGGCGTGGTTCAGCCCGTGCATCCGCCGCCGCTCCCGCGCGTTGGCCGCCAGCCGCCGCTGCTTCTGCACGCCGCTCACCTGCGCCCGCAGGCCGGGCCCGCCGCCGCCGCCGCCGCCCCGCGGCCGCCCGCCGCCCGCCGCCGCGCCCCGCGCCCCGCCGGGGCTGCTCCCGCCGCCGCCGCCGCCGCCCCGCGCCGCGCTCCCTTCCGCCGCCGCCGCCGCCGCCGCCGCCGCCGCCGCGCTCCCCTCCGCCGCCGCCGCCGCCGCCGCCTCCCCGGGCAGCAGGTAGCGGGGCGAGGCGGCGGGCAGGCGCGCGCCGCAGCACACGCCCAGCCAGCCCGGCCCGAGCGCGCACCCGCCCGGCTCCGCCGCCCCCAGCTCGCGGCCGCCCTCGGCCCACGCGGCCCGCGGCAGGCTCATGGCTCTAGCGCGGGCGCCGCGCGCCCATGGGGGGGCAAGGTTGGGGGGGTGTAGGGGCGGGGGGGGGGGGGGGAAAGGGCAGGGCCGGCTCGCGGCGCGACCGCCCGCCTCGCGCGTGGCGGCCCGACGTCTCCGGTGTCGGCCGGGCGCCGCGCCCCCCTTTAAGGAGCGGCACGCGCCGGGGTCCCCCCCTCCCGTCCCCGCACTTCCCCCCCCCCCCCCCCACACACACCCCCCCCGCCTCCTCCTTCCCTCCCCTCCCTCGCGCCCCACCCCTCCCGCCGCCCGCCCTCCTCCACTCGCGCCGGTCGCGTGTCGGAGCGGCCAATGGCGCGCGGGCGGGGGCCGGCGCGTGCGGGGAGCCAATGGCGCGCGGGGCGCGGCCCGCCCGGCGCGCGGCGCGGGGGAGCGGAGGTTGGGGAGGGGATTTGGGCGGGGGGGGGGGGGGGGGGGGGGGGGGGGAGGGTGTGTGTGTGTGTGCGTGCGCCAGGCGGCACGCGCGGCCCCGCCCCGCCCCGCCCAGCCCGGGGAGGCTCGCGCCTGGCGGCCGCCCCGCGCGCGACGGTGCGGGGGTGGGTGTGTGTGAGGGGGTGTGTGTGTGAGGGGGGGTGTGTGAGGGGGGGGGTGTGCGAGGGGGTGTGTGTGTGAGGGGGGGGGTGTGTGAGGGGGGGGGTGTGTGAGGGGGGGTGTGTGTGAGGGGGGGTGTGTGAGGGGGGGTGTGTGTGTGTGAGGGGGGTGTGTGTGTGTGAGGGGGGTGTGTGTGTGTGAGGGGGTGTGTGTGAGGTGCGGGGGGAGCGGTCTGGCAGCGCGGCGCCCCGCACCGGGCGGCGCGGCTGAGGACGCTCCGTCGCGCCCACCGCGGGGACAACCGCCCGTTTCCTTCCCCGCCGGCTCCGGTAAAACCGCCTCCCCGCGCCGGGCGGCGGCGGCCGCGCGGAGCGGAGCGGAGCGGTGCCCTCCCCGGGGAGGCGGCCGCGGCCGGAGCGCCGCGCTTGCTGTGCGGGGCGGGGGAGGTGGGGGGGGGGGTTTGAGCCGCTGCGGGGCTGCCGGGCGCCCGCCCTTGATTTTAGCCCGCTAATCCCCGGGGCGGGTGAGAACCGGTGGCGTTCGCACCCGGGGCCGCCGCGTTTGCGGCAGGGTCCCGGTCCCCCCCCGCGAGCAAGTGCTTTTGTTCGGCCAACAATAGCTCCCCAAAGGTGGGGGAGAGGGAAGGAACTCCGTGCACGCATCTTAACTTCCCTTCCGAGCAGCCTCCCCTCCTGCCACCACCGCCCGCTTCAAGAGGAAAAGTGGAGGTTTACTGATGTGAATAGGCGTGTTGAGAACAAAGTGATGGGCACAGTATGAGGTAGATATGTTTTTTCAAACGTGAATGACTCGCCAGCCACGGAGGGAGCGAGGCAGCACAGCAGCTCCAAGCCATGCGGCGGTGACATAAAATGAGCAACCTTATTAGTTTATTAGGCTGGCTGAGCGCGGTGCTGGCGCCTGGGGCCCACCTTCCGCAAACAGCTGGATGTTTTCGAGCCAAACAGGACGTCGGTGGTTTGCTCTCTTGAAGAAGAAACCGAGGCGAGCCTTCGCTGTTCTTTTCTGCTTAAAATTATGTTTCAAAGGCAAAAGCTGCTGGTTTTGGTTTTGTTTTTGTTTGTTTGTTTGTTTTGTTTTGTTTTTTTTTCTTCCCTCCCTAAACAAGTCGTCAATTTCTGGTCAAAATGAAAACATTTACTTGGTAAGAAAGATGAAAAGGAGGGGAAGTTTATGCCTTGTTTCTGTATGTTGTCTATTAAGCTGGCAGGCCATCTATCTGTATCTGGCAGCAACTTTTATAACCTCCTATCGTATTATCACACACACATAGATGCTTTTGTCATTAAAAAAAAAAAAAACCAACCAAACAAAACCCACAACAAAAACCCCTCTCTCCACCGTGCTGAACCGTGCTGTTTGCCAGCTAAATACTCAACCTTCTGGCTTTTCATTCCATCCCCAGGCACCACGTCTTCCCTCACCGGGTCCTGGGGGGCACAACCTCACTTTGCCAGGAGCCCCGCCGTACCCTCTGCGGGGGGGGCGGGGGTTGAGCCTGCACATCCCCGTTTCGAGCTCCGGGCGCTGCGGCTGCAAGTGGCTCGACGTGAGGACCAAAGCTTGGAGGTGAGCGGGAGCTTTGCCAGGCGGGGGCCGCTGGCAGGCGCTTCCAGAAGCCCGGCAAGCGCAGGGAGAGCGATGACAGCGCGGTGTTGAAATCTTAAACACCTTGCACCCGGCCGGTGGGCCACGGGGCTGTTGTTTCCCTGACAGCAGGCCCAATCCTCCAGCCCACGCGGCACCTGCTTTCTGAGGCTGCCTGGCCACGGCCCCGAGCACGGGGAGGGGGAGCGGCATCCCATTAGCATCCCGTGGGTATAGGGGAAGGCTGGTGCCCAGGAGAGGCCCTGGCCTCTGGGCACCCCACGCACCCGACAGGGCCAGGGCTTGCGGCTGGTGCTGGGGGGGCTTCCCTTAGCAGGACCACCCCGGTTTTAGAGAGCGCAGGGGAGATGAGCCTAACACCCTGGCACGCTCCTCGGATGGTCAACCCGGCTGAGAAACGCTACCAAGCAGCTTATTTTTCAAGCGCGTATCTTGTGAGCGCGCGCCTGCTTTGAAGCAGGAGGCATTTGAGACTCGCGCGATAGTTTGCCTTTGAAAGGGCACGCACAAAAAGCCCTTTTCCCCATCAACACCACCGCTCAGAGGGGGAAAATAATACTTCATGGAAGCCCACTGCTCTGCGTATGCCCGTATCGGCTTTGCACGCACATGCACTCAGAGTCAAAGTCAAAGGCAAAGGGTGGTTTATGTCGGCGCTGGGTTTAGCTCTGCTCTCCCGGAATAAGATAAATGTAAGTGATGAAGAACTCCTGGGGCTGGCTGAACTCATTTTGTATTCAGCACTGCCCGGCCCTTTTCTCTTCCCTTTCTCCCTCTCTTTGTATGTTCAAGCCTACTTGAGTTTCTTTTTTTCCTTTGTAGAAGTTGGTTCTTTTGAAGCGGTTCGAGGCACGCCCTGCCGCAAAGGGAACTTCACGGGAGTCAGAAACACAAGCACACCGGTCTGAAACACTTACTGTACAATAGCAGGAATGTAGGAAGCCTTGAAAATGAATCTGCTCTCTCTAAGAAAGCGTCAAAGCTTTCAGAGGAAAACAAACTGAACTTACCCCTGTATCTTTATGCAGATTTCCCCCCTGCTCCTTCATCCCCCCCCCCCCAGTCTGGTTGAGGGCCGAGGCAGCAACTCGGGGTCAGGCACATATTAGTGTTACAGAAAAACGGGTTACAAAAGGAGGGGAGAACAGACTTGCAAAAAGCCTCCTCTGTCATTACAGCCAGAGACATTTTCAAAGCGCACAAAGCACATGGGTCAGCCCTCAGCTTAATTGTACTCAATAGTCTAATTGCTCATTCTATCCCATTTCAAGATCAGCCGGCTGCTCTGCAGGCATCACCACCAGTTAGGAAGCAGTTTATTCCTCCTCTTCCCTTGTCCCACTCTCTCCACACGTTCTCCCGTTTTTTCCCTTCCTTCCTTTTGAAAAGCAGGGGGAAGCCTCTCCGTGCCCCTCCCCTGGCTTGCGATCTGGTCTTCAGGCAGTCAGACGCTGGAGTGGATAGAGACAAAATCGTGAGCGTTGCTTACCCGAGGTCAGGTAATCCTCGCCGAACCCCACCCACAACCTGCCCAGGCCCCCAGCAGGAGGAGGGGAGGGGGATTCCTGCCCACCGGGTGACCGACCCGCACCCCGGAATGACAAACCCCACCTAGAAGCTACTACAGTGAACGACGAAAAAAACCACATAAAGACAATGCACAGCCTAAACATTTTCAGCTTCATTGACTGCAGCATCAGAACATTCCCCCAAAGAAAGCGTTCGTATTTACATTGTTGAGAGCAAGTGAGCTTAAAGCAGGGGAGCGTCCGGCAGTGAGGCTTTCTGAGACCCCTCCTACGATCAGCGCCTGACGCTTTACTGGCAAGCGTGTTCTAAGTAAACATTAGAAGTGATGACTGCAAGGAACGCAGAAGCCCAGGTACCCGGGACATTGTTATGGACTCCAGCGTTTGTGAAACCTGCCCCTTTCCACTCGTGGGTTATCAGGACCATGTTGCTGCCGAAGCAGACACGCCCTCATCTCTGCAGAGCAATCTTCCTGGGCAGATCTTTACAATTCCCTACTGTCATTCACTTCGACCCTTGGAGGGTCTATAAAACTAATTCATATCTCTCGGTGACATCTACCCCCGTAAAGATCTAGTGCAGACCTACGCTGTGGGGCTAGCCCTGCAGACACTTTCGGTTGTGTACAGTTAATTCCAGTGCAAGTAGTCCCACTGCCTCCAAGAGAAATGCAAAGCATCACTACAACAATACTTGCCTACCTCCTGGGGTCATTGTAAGCCATAATGTATTCAGCTTTGTAATATATTTGGAAGTCTTATCTATAGAATTTATACCTACATACACTTTGCCCTTTTATTTAAATGGCTATAATTGTTACTGAGAATTCAATTTATGCTCAAAAGCTTTGCATTCAAGGAAGCATCACAAATAATAACAGTTTTCTTTTGGTCACTGTTTTAAACACTGTCTTGTTTTCAGCTCAGCAAGGAGTTCCCACTAAAATTGTTAAACGCCTTCACTCCCACCAAAATCCCGGAGAGCTGAGGTACCTTTTCTGCCGTGGGACACTTCCAACAACAGACCTCCAGGAAAACAAAACCAAACCATCAAGGCCCACCACGCAGGGTTTTGCAGGGCTGTTGCCATGGTGTGGTAAGCACTGCCGTGGCCCCAGCTGATCAGAGGACCCAGATCGGAAGGCAGCAGGCAGTCTCCTCCTGTCCCAAACTCGGAAAAATCCGACCGCAGAGGCGCAGAGGCCTGCATTTGCTTGGTTACTGCTTCTGGCAGAACTGAAACCCAGAGAGCTGCCAGTAGCTCAGACAGGCAGC